TCCACGCCATAAATTCCAAGAGAAGACGCCTTCAAAAAGTCAGTTTTAATCCTGTAGACCTGACAATAGCAAAAGATAATGATTTTTCAAACTTTTTTCCACTTAATTATAATCTGACTTTTCTATATACGAATTTGGACATTCTGACACCGTAAATTATGACTGAACTCACCTTAAGACTTGAGAGTAGTATATTTGGATCATCCTCTTATCTGATATGCTTGTTGCCTATGGATGTCGTTCTCAGTGTCACCATTCACCACACCATTGGAATTTATATATATATATACTATTACTCGTACACAAGTGGGCCCTCAGGAATTATGCTGCAACTGGTAGTGGAATTCCGAAGGATGTGCCTTGTCTTTTACAAGTGGGCTCATTTCTTGCTTTGTTCTTTCCTCTTGTACAAAGCAATTCCATTTCGTTTTGCACTTTAGGTAGTGAAATGTAATCGCTCTTCTCCTTTCGTCGTGCCACGTGGGGATTCCAGGCACGTTAGAAGGTGATAGCAGCCAGATCATCTGAGCTGTGCTGTGCTGTGCTTGACTCTCCTTTGACTAATCCCACGTGAAACTCCACCTGCTTTTTTTGCTGCAGCTTAACTGGCGATTCTGATGCGCTATTATTTGCTTGCTGTATTGCGCGTTAGTGTGTCCTGCGTAGATCCTGTTCGGTAAGGCGTCTTTTGGCTGTAGCCGAAGCCGCTTTTGATTCATTTCTAAAATACAACCTTGCTATATTGCAGAATATTCTCTCTAGAAGCTGAAACCTTTTGTGAGGAGAAGCCTTTGCAAACGGGGCTGTAGTACGTAAGCTCCTGGGATAAGCAGGGCAATCTCTACGTGGCGTTCCAACGCGAGGTGATAAGCTTAGTCGACTCGAGCAGCGTTTCTTTGTGTTGTTTTTCATGTATATATATATATACTACACAAGCGGGTCAAAGTCAACAAAAGAGAAAGGTCGTATGTGTGACGTTGTAAACATGGAAACAGTAGTATTTCTGCATTGCTAACGCGCTACCTCTGCAACCAATTCCAACAACGTCGAAATCATAGGTAACAGCATGTGAACTTCTGAATTTCAGCTCTACATAATTGCTTTAGACAGGCTCCAGACTTTACCTTGGTTGACCTCCAATCCAATTGAGCTAGAATCACTTTAACGAAACAGTTGCATGCATGCGAAATTACTCTTGCGTTTTACCGTTCAATAGGAGGTGAATCCATCATCTCTCTCGCTTTTTTTTTTTGCCAATCACAAGACCTTCGTCAGCTCTTTAAAAAAAAAAGACCTTCGTCAGTTAGTACAATCTTTTAGTGACCTGTATAGGGAAATGGAAGTTTGGGGGCACAAGAAGGCAAGTATAATAAGGTGATATACACGGGTTATACGAGTTATCACATCAGAATTATGCTAAATTAGAGGAGAGATAAGGTAAGTGAGTTGTAAATTTACAAAAGATGGACCTGCACTGATGGTGTAGCATGTATCGCAATCTAACTTTGACATATGGCACTAACATATAACCTGCACCTGGCCACATGCTCTGAAGTGATGGCACTCGCTTTTTCAGCAAAGGAAATCACGGGTGACGATGAGATCCTAGCACAGTGATTAGGTCCGGAGGATAGCGTCAATCATGTATCAGCCATACCGCACTTAATCGCGATGGATAACCTATCTCCTTTGGAATTGTCCTCGTTTCTCGCCTGCCAAATACAATATGTACTCCCTATATATAATAATATAAATAAAATAAAAGCCAAAGAAGGAAATCGTCAGGAAAATGGGGGCTGACGGCGACAGGAATTCGGGGACATCGGAACCAGGTGGTGCGATGCATGCACCCGCCGTTCCGTCCAGCTCAGCCGGGTCCAGACACCAGTGTGATGTGGGACAAACACCCAAGAGTGCACGCGTTTGCTTTCCTGCCTTTTGTTTGGAGCTGGAGTCACCAGCGACGAAATTCAATTGACTATTATAGTGAAGGCCCCCTCGTCCTCGTGGCCTGGTCAAACTAATCGGGATAATCGTAGTAGCTGTTGACACCCCGGCCCAACATTTGAATACTAACTTGAACGGTTCGCCCAGTGGTACTAGTGGTGTTCTGTTCAAATCTCATGTTCATGTCTGAGGCTCTTAGGTTATGTTGTATCAGACTGAGTTGACACCAGGACTTGGCTTGTTTGTCTTTGTCAGCAACCCAGGTTCATGTAATTCTTGGTGCAGAGAAAATATATGAAAACATGTAGAGAGAGATCAGTCGGCTAGAGTTTCATTTGCATTTAATATTGTGACATGTCAGCAAATTTGATAACTTGACAGATTAATTATGAAGAGAGAGATAAAGAGAGTTTCATCGGGACGAACCCGTCAACATAGTTACCAACACAAAATCTGACGTGAATAACTACGAAACTCGCTAATGCAGCCGGGGAGAGTGACGTGGAGGTAAAAACGACTAGCACGCATCTCGGAAGCTCAGCAGGTGGACTAAACTAGGCACTTGCTAAGTAAAGTTGCTGTATACTAGGAGCATCTCCACAGTAAAGAAAAACAAGCGCTACAGACAGAGATGATGGCAGTGAGTAGTAACTTGGCAAGGTAAAGCACCAACAACAAGGAGATGCTGGAAACGGAACAAGAAGAAAGCCAAGGCGGGCGAGCAGGCAGAGACAGCAGACAACGACTTGCTCGGTTGATTTTGTCGCAGGCGGACAAGCGGGCGTCACGTCAACCCCCTTTGCCTTGCCGCCTCGGTTCGGCACGAGCGCTAGCACCTGCACTGACTCCCCCGTCCTGGCCTCGGAACTTTCGCCGCGGGCGCGGTTGATGGATGCGGCCGACAGCGACGCTTCCATCCCTCGCTGCGGGTCTCCGCCTCTCCGGGTGCGGTTGGGCTTCGTTCCGTTTCCCCACGCGACGCTCCCGCCGTGCCATCCGACGGCGACGCGGGCGGTGCTGCCGCGACGTGGTTGCGTGTGCGTCGCACACAGGGCCGGCCGGTCCAGGTCGCCGTCCGCCGGTGGATGGATGGAGCCGTTGAAGCCGAGGCCTCCACGCTACTCTCTCCTCCCCGCCTCGTCGTGGCGCGGCGCGGCGGTCGGTCAATGGCGCGTGCGCGCAGCGGCGACGCACGGGGGAGGGGTCGCCGCTCGCTGGTTTCCTACTCGTAGCCATCGCATCGCAGTGGAGTACAGGGAGGAGATCTCACTCTCAGTCCGGCGAGTCCGTGCCAGGACAGGAGAACAGCTCAGCCTCAGCTCAGCATGTGCAGGACGGAACCAGCGACGAACAACCGGACCGTATTCGTTTCTCCTTTAATCCATACTTTTTAACTCGTTTTTTTAATCAAAACAGTATTTTTCTCTCCTAACAAATTAGTTAAAACAGTATTTTAGATCGTTTTTTTAACAGGGCCCGCCACCAACCAGCCGGACCCCGTATTTCTCGCGGGAGGAAGGGAACGGCCGGCCGGCCGGCACGGCCACCTACCATGTCCTGTCTTCTCAGAACCGCCCAGCTGCTCGAACGAATATGCACAGTTCGTTTCGTCGTAAACGAACATGAATTATTTACTGCTGGCTGGTTTTAGCTGGTTTGACTGGTTCGGTATATAAAAAAAAAACTATTCTAGCTTAAAATCCCCAATCATATACTATCGTATAAGCCCAACCAAACAGGTTAATGGAAGGATTTCCTTTTCCCCCTTCCCCTCGATCGACAAAAAGAATCACAAGATACGTATGAACACACGAGGCAGCGGCGGCTCAAGATCCACCGGTCTCCGGGCTCTGATGATGATCACTGCATAATTAATATATCATGTGTATGTACACGGTTTCTTTATACATATTGTTTGTAGGAGTACAACCATGGTTACATGGCGGTAGCTTCGTCGCTCGCTTAAGCAAAGCGAGAAGCTGGCATCTTTTTTTCCTCAACTATAAGAACACGAACGCTGACTGACCTGAGTGCTGATTTTATATCTACAGGTAGGGCACCCAGATCACAGCAACGAACAAGAGATGGATCGATCCATGCTATGCTAGTTTACAACACGAACACAAAACATATCTTAGAAAACCTTGCTGACAAAACCCAGTAAAAAAATATGAGGAAAAAATTTTCAGTTTCTTCTCTCCCTTTGACCATCCCTCTTGCTGTGTGGTGTGGTATCGGCGAACATCAATCGACTAGTAGTACTCTTGGCGGGAGGAGGAGATCTCATCTCTCCTCGCCTCCTCTCTATTCTGATCTGATCTGAACTGAACTACTGTTAATAAAAATGAAAAACCCGCTGCTGTATATACCACAAGAAAAGACGAACGGAGCACACGTAGCATCATCATCGTGGTGGAAGTCGTACGACGGCCGGCTGGCGAAAACTGTACAAGGTTCGTGAGGTCTTGCTCCTTCTCCTCTTCCTCCTCCCTGGGCGGGGGGAGTGCGGGCGGGCTCGGCGCCGCCGCCCCGGCCGGAGCTCGCTCAGGCGCGGGCGGACAGCACGCGGCTGCCGCCGTTGCTGTGGGAGCTCCGGCACGCGGCGACGTCGAACCCCTGGATCCTCACGGACGGCGCGAACGACGACGGGGCAAAACTGCTGTTACTGTTGCTGCTATACGTCGGGCGGTGGACGTAGCTGGTGCGGCTCCGGTGGTAAAAAAAATCCGAGCTCCAGCGGCGTTGGGTCCGCCGCGGGCTGGCGCTGGTTCAGCAGGAAGTGGGGGTCGTGCACCAGCGGGTTGTCCGCGCGCGCCGGCGGCGACCCGCCGAACACCGCCCAGCAGCCCCCGTCATCCTCCTCCCCCACCTCCGCCGGCTTGGTCCTGCCTCCCTCCTTGCTGCTCTGTAATAAGAAAGGACACGTCTTTGTAAGCGACGGCGAACAAGAACGGCGTGGAAAGAGGAGATTTTGGCAGGGGGTCGGAAGGAGGATTGGTCCAGGCAGCCGTACCTTACTGTTGCTGTTGAGCAGGAAGGGCGGCGGGCCAAGGATGAGGTCGGCGCTGCAGGGGTGGACCTGGACCCTGCGCGGCCGAGGCGCGCAGAGCACCGGCTCGGCGTCCCGGCAGCCGGCGCTGCCGGAGGCGGAATCGACGAACAGCCGGTTCATGGCCCTGGAAGGCATCCTCCGGGTCTCAATCTCGCAAAAAGTTCTTCCTTTGCCAGAGAGGCTCAGACTCCTCTCGCCGGCGCCGCTGCTGTGGAGATTGCAGGCCGGGGTCCAGGAACCAGGATTAGATAGGGGGATGGAACGGATGAACTGAAGCAACGGAGGAGGGAGGGGACGGCTTGGCCTTCGCCTTCGCCTTGCCTGCCTTTTCGTGAGGCTGAGGCCTGAGGCGGGTGAGAAGGAAGCGGCGATGCGGTGCTGACCGCCCCGGCCACCGCAAATATACCAACCGCCCAGTTGGCGCCGGGTGGGCAGGTGGACCACGTCTCTCGTGCCTGCCCCTCCTTTTCTTTTTTAGCTGCTTTCCTTTCCTGCTGTTTTATATATTTTATTTATATATTTATTTATGTCCACCGCCTCTTCTATTTGCTGATGAGTAAACAAACGAAGAAATGTGTGTGCCGGCCGGAGGAAAATATCCCTCGTTTCTGTCGTTCGGGCCGTCACGACTTGCTTGTTGTTGCTTGCAGCACATAGCTAGCGTACCGTACGTGCGTGTGCACCACTCGTAGGTCGTCGGAGCGAGGAGGATCTGATCTGACTATTGGTGAGCGGTGACCTAGACTTTTTATTTGAGGGAGCAAAAATACCTGCCTCCAATCGGGGCAATGATCTGAACCCTAGACTTCATCTATCAAATCTATTGCCTAAACACACGGGCAATCCGAACCCTACTACATCTTTTTGCTCACTTCGCAGCCTTGTTCTTCGATGGGCCTGTTCGTTTGGAGGAATTTGGATGGTTTGGAGGAATACTGGAGGAATTTGTGAGAGAAAAACACGGTTCCGGATGAAAAAAAAATAGATCAAGCCGGGTTTAAGGGCACGCGAACAGAGCCGATGTTACCTAAGGTTGTACCATGCCTGCTTCGGAGGTGTCCGTCATGAGCGTGTGTAGCCATTGTCATCGATCACTGTCCCTGTAATTTAACTTACTCTTATGTTATGTGTGGCCTATATAAGTATATATAGTCCTCTTTTTTGAGCTTGCTGAATCCATGAACAACTTTGCTATCTCCATTTCGTAATTTGTTAGTTTCACCGGTGTCTACCTCACGAGAGTGTTTTTTTTTTAAATAGACAGCATTGTATTATCTTAACACATCGTTACAAGGAGGGCTTGAATTGCATTCGAATTCTCATTACACCAAACTGAACCAGAGAACTGATCAACTAGCCTAGCCATTACATGAGCTGCCTCATTGCAACTTCTCTAAATATAAAAAAAAGAGACAGAAGCTTTGTGTACTACGTTTTTTTATCACATACAATTGTTCCAACTTAAGATCTATCTAGATGCGGTGATTGTATTTTTTTATGATTATGTCATCAATTCTTCATCTATCGTTGGGGTTCTAAATTCTTATCACCTCTCGTTACTATGTTATTAGAAGAAAAGAAAACAAACAGAAGCACTACAAAAGCCTTGTGGATAAGAACTTCGGAAAGCACATCCGATCCAACTCTCCATGTTTAAACACGCATAAAAATAAGAGAATATGCAAGATTTGTCCAGGTTAATTGTCGTCCACAAAACGAAAAAGACGTCGTGGACCACAAATTTGAAGCAGATGCTTCTGGTTGCTCACGTTATGAACGTTATGTTTTGATTTGATTGTTCGTTTTTAGAACAATTTATTTGCTTAAGGAACTAGCCTAAATTAATTGGGAAACATGTGAAAAACTAAAAATCCTTTTGTAGCTAGCTTTTCACTGTGCACAGGAAATCAGTGAATGAAAAATGGCATGAATCGAAGTACCCGTGGGTTAACATATCTTTTTATATGGGTCTCTCTGATAAGACTCAACTATTTTTTTCCATCCAGTGACGAAACTAGAGCAAATCGAAGGAGATACACCTGCCTTATAGATGCGTAGACTTGAGTTGCAACCATGATGAAAATATAATCAATGGTATTCTATTTTTTGGGTGCATCTGCACCCACATGTATATAGCTTCGCCAATGCTTCTCTCTCCAGATCTGCTAGCGCTCTTTTGATCTTGACAGCTGATGTGTCGATCAGGAAAACAATTCATTTGACTTTTGATGCGGTGATTTCGATCTCTTTTGCCAGTTTGTTCTACGACTAAGTTTGATTTCTGATCAATCAGGCTTTGAAGGATTTTAAGCCTATATTATGTTCCCTAGGTGTTCATCTAGCCGATATTCTTTCAATGTGTACTAGAACCCATTGCCATCTATCAGTGGCTTTTATGAATTTTAGAGCCCTATATGACGAGGGGGTTTGTAGAGGGTTTGAAGCAGAAGAAGACAACCGGATTAATCTTTGATGTACTTTTATTTTTTAAAGTTGTTTTGTGTAAAGATATCTATCATATGTATTATCGTCCATTTGTTTTCTTGATTAAATATGAGATATGAGGCACTAGAAAATGTGTTTTTGTTAATAAAAATGGCAGCTTTGTATCTAGGGCACAAGAGCATATGTGTGCACCGGATTCACATATATCCTTCGTGAAGAAATTGAAGTATGGCATGCTCTAATAACTCGTATATTACTATATGCACTTTCTCGGCCCCATTTGGATCTTTAGAATTAAATTTATTCTAGTAAATTATAATTTAGACATATATTAATTAAGCTAATATGGTTGTATAATGTTGCATTTCTACTATAAGAAAGCGAGTTGAAGAGCATGCTATAAGTTGTAGATTACAAACATAGCATGGTGATCTATAGAATCGATTTTCATATCCCACCCTATGAATTTGAGATAGGCTTATATGTGAACTTTGGAAAGTTGTGGAATCTCAAATTCCAAGCCAAATAGTCTAATCCATTAGATATATTTCAATTCCTCCAAAATAAAAGGATCTAAACGGCCCCTAAATGAATTTGGAGCATATCCCCTGCGCACGAGCCAACACGCATTGCTCTACTGTCGATGTCTTGATCTTTTGGCATGTTAATTCATCTAGGCTAGCCATTCCGGTGTGATAATCAAAACATAGATTCGTGACCAGGAACTTGGCTATTTGTGCCTCCTGTTGATACAATACCATCTCAAAAAAACATCTAATTCTCTATGCATAGACACACAAACACAAACGGAGGGGGGGAGGGGGGAATAAGCATGATTCTCCTAGTTAATTGACATCTACAAGACGAAAAACGTCCCATGCCACAAATTCATGAGAACCTGTTTTGTTGCTGACGTGGAGAGCGGCTTAGTTGGATGATTGTTGGTTTCGAGAGGATTCCCAAAAGCTTCTTAAAAAAATACTCTACTCTATAATAAACTACTCCCTTTATTACAAATTACAAGTCATTTAGGCTTTTCTACATACATTGATTGTGCTACGAATGTAGATGTAGTGTATATCTAGGTAGCAAAAGATGTCTCTAAGAAAACTCAAATGACTTATAATTTGGAATGGAGGAAGTAATAATTATGTCAATTATGGATAGGGAGTTTTTTTTGTCTTTTTTTCAATAGTTTTTAGTACTTATAGCTTTCTAAAACTAAAAAAAAATAGGTAGGAGGAGAAAACACCGGAGAACAAAAAGGAGGAAAACCATGGTGGTGGGGCCACCCGAGCGGATAGTAATCACACAACGCACACCTCTATATTGGTGGATTGAGGAGAGGATTTGCCAAGAGCTTGTCGTTTACATGCAAGACTGTTTGTTCTAAGCGTTGTTTTTTTTTCTTTCTTCTTTAGCAAAGAGTTTTATTGAACTCTTAGAAATGATCCTATCTGTAGACTATAGGTGAAGAAGAACTATCCTAAATTCTTAACATAGCAAATTAATTACTTAACGACAAATTAGCACCAGCGAATGAGAAACCGGTGGAAAAACAAAAAAAAATAAAGAAGAGAAAAGATGTGGCGTGGGTTAGTTAAAAATGGCAGCCTTGTTCCCGAGACGGGGGCGCCTTGGATCTCACGCCCACTCACATGGCCAGCATCGTCCTGACACCCACGATGCACCGACCACGTTCTGTCCCCTCACCTCCCATTTCCGGATTTTTTTTCTGCCCCGCGCATCGCATCACACGCAGCGAAATGACGAAACTACCCCGCGCTGCGGTGGTCCCCCTCCCGCCTCCCTTGTCTGGCCCCGCGTGGTCGTCGTCGTCTACGGCTACGTACAGTTCTCCTGTATGAATACACCCTGCCGACTTCGCCGCCGCTGCGGACCACGCCAGTGCCGTAGACGTCCTCCCAGCCGTTGGATCGGCCGCCGACCGGCCCGATCGATGCGGTGCGGTGGTTGGGGCGCGTGCCCCTGGCCCGCGTGGGCTGGAGGCCCATCCCGCCGTCCGGGTGCTGGATTGGATCGAATGGAAAAGGCCAAGGCTGCCACTGCCTGACTGCCACGGTGCCACCTCTCTTCTCCCTCCCGGCTCCCGCTTTAAAAAAGCTTTCCTGGTTATGTTCAAAAAAAAAAAAAAGCTTTCCTGGATGCTGATCGCTGAAGCAAACGGGGGCGCACGCACGAGACGCCCATGTGAGGTGAGTGACCATGGGAGCATGTATGGTATGGGACTGAGCTCATGAGCTTTATCATTGCTCTGCTTGCTTCAACCTGACCTGACCTAACTCTAAGCTACTAGTCTCCTGTGCAGTCGTAGTCACAACAGCTCAGCGATTGGTCGCTGCTCTTTCTTATCCTTGTTTCAGCAAGGGTTCCGGATTAGTGCGCAAGGATGGGCATGGGCTGCTTTGATGATCATGAGTGAGACCGTGGACCCTTCGCAGTGTGGGCTGCAGGCCCATCTGCAAAGCCCAGCCACCTGGCCTTTTTATCGGCTATCAGGTTTGGGGTACAGTATATATACGGTACTACTCAAGAAGACGACTGGACGCGACAGACTTGGTTACTGGAGCAGAGCACTATACCACTGTCTCTATTTTTACGTACATAAAAGACACTGCCAACCAGTGACGGCATCACGAATGAACGGGTGAGAATTTGGTGGTTGCGAACTTGCGGTGGCCGGTGGCCGGAGCCGGAGGTGCAGGTGCAGTAATCATGTCACACACACTGTCACCTGCACACGACACTGCCGGTTGATGCTTGAACGCCTCAACTGACCGACCACTGACCAACCGCACCGCAGCGTCA